TCTGCTTTTTTAATCTCTGCCTTGGCCCCAATTTCTGCAACTCTCTCTTGCTCTGTGCCTTTCTATCTCTCAATTTATGTTTTCTCTTTAATCATCCCCTCCTTCTAAACCCATGACTACCCAAATGACATGATGACATGCGAATTGGGATGTGTGATGGAAGAAAGGTGGCCATCTGTTGGCACCCTGGAAAAGAAGGAAGGAAAAAGAAGGGTTCAGCATGATCCTGGATGTGCAGATGAACTCCTAAGAACCTGAGAGAGACAGCAGTGGCAGTATAGGGTGGGAGCCCCCCAGAGATGCACTGGCACAGGAGACAACCAGAGAGTCAGGAATGAGAGGTGGTAGGAGACGGTGAGGACCGGACACCCCCGTCAGGACTGCAGAGGTGGGGATCCAGCCTGTCAGGCAACCTTCTGCCCCCTATAGCAGATATGGAGGCCCACACCCATGAACAGTGAATGAGGCACACTTTTTGAGACCCACATTCAAGTTGGAAAGGGAGGGGGGATAGGGGAAGACGGAGTAGGGGTATAGAGTTAAGAGGGGCCAGAATGAGAGGATGATGTGGGAACGACATGGGGAAGAGAAAAGGGTGAGCCACCAAAAGATGGAGAAGACAATGACTTGGGTGGGAAAGCAGGGGGCTGGGGTAGGATGTGTGGAGAGAGCTAAGTGGGGGAAGAGAGAGATTAGACAGAGGAATGGGGCAGAGGAGAGGACAGCACAGAGGGGTTGCAGGTGGGGGAAAGGGCTAAGATAGCAGAGAAATGAGGGAGGAGGGTAAGGGGAGCATTTGGACCAGAAAAGAGAAAGCAGGGGAGAAGATGAGGGCCATAGGGGCAATGTGGAGCCTGGAGGGGTGGGGGAAGGGAGTATTGATGGGTCTCATCAGCCTCAGGTCCACAGCCCCTTCCCACCCATCTGCTAATTAACTCCTTAATTGTCTCTGCATTTGCTGAGCTGGCAGATGAAGTGGATGCAGACAGATTGGGGGCGTGTGATTTCACGCACGGGGGAACAGAGAAGAGCTGCCTGGGAGTCCCAGGGGGCCTTGCCCCGTCTTTGCCCTCCCCTCTCCTCCCTGTTTCTGAGAGGCTGGAGGGTACTTCTGCACCTAGAGCAGATGGGGCCATCTGCAAGGGAAGTGTCCATGGGGAATTTGTCCCCATCAGCCTTTCAGGGATGGAAATAATACTTGCCACTATTGATGGAACACCTACTGTTTACTAGGCACACACTGTTTCATCACTGCGGGCATTAGCCAGATTTTACAGTTTGCAGAAAAAGTGAAGCCCAGACAGGTTAAGTAACTTGCCCAGGATCACACAGCAGTGGTATGACAAAGGCGGAATTTGAATCCAGGTCAGTACAATGCCCAAGCCCTGGGTGGGTCCTGGCCAGATAGATGCCTCATGCCAGTGGAGGGAGGAATATCTCCAGGCCTATTTCTCAGCCCCAGGAGAAAAAGGTTACTGAGGTCTAGGAACTCCAGAGGCAAGAGAGGAGGAAAGTGTAGACAAAAAGCTGGAAGGGGGCTGAAGGAACTAGAATCTGTCATGATCTGAATGAGAGGTAGGTGGGCCCAAAGAAGCAGAAAGGAGCAGTTGGACACTAATCACAGTCCATGGATTCCTCAAGTGTCATCTTACTAGAGCCAACTCCCCCTTTCCTCATCCCTGCACCACAAACCCCAGTCAGTCTGACTTACCCCTCTGCCACTCTATACTGGCAGCCGTGGCCCATCCCTCAATTTCACTCTTGGCCTTTGCACTAGAGTCAGTTGTCAACATGTTTATCTCTCTTTTGACACTGGGAAATTTTGAAGGCAGGGACAATGCCATTCCCATTCCTTATCATGTCCCCAGGGCCAATCCTAGGGCTTGACACAGGAAAAGCCTCAGTGGAGGTTTGCTGAAAAGTATAGGACAGGGATAGGGGGATGTGTTCAGGGATGCATCTCAGATGAAGAGAAAACAATAGCATGAGGGACTAAAGTTGTGCCTAAGAAAGAACTTCTAAGGCTAGGGCCTGTCATGCAAGGAAGTACAAGGAAGACTTGATTCAGATCCCTGGATTCTGAAGAGCAAGATTTCTCCAGATTGGTTGCTGTGTATTAGAGATCTTGAAAAGCTGGGAAATCTGGGCCTCCCCCCGGATTCTGATTTAATTGGTGGGGCCACAGCATCAGCATGTTAAAAAGCTCTCCAGGTGATTTAACTGTGCAGCCTGGGTTGAACCACTGTTGGATTCGGCCCTGATTTAGCTGCCCTGGTGGTTTTATCACTGTATCCAAACACTAATGCTAATAATAATAGTTATCACCTATAGAAGATTTACTAAGTGCAAGCTAGTGTGCCAAGCACCTCTATGCATTAGCTCATCTTAGTAATCCTCAGAAACTCCTGTGAAATTAATATTATCCCGGTCTTACAGATGAGGAAACTGAGCTCTGTGAGGTCAAGGGGCCTGCCCATGCTAATGAATGGCAGGGCCAGGTCTCGAAGCTGAGATTAGCTGATTCATATCTCCTATCTTCCCCCAGACTCCTCCTGAGGCTGCTCATTGGCCTCAATCAGTCCTTGCCTGCCTCCACCTCACCTTGTCACCTTCCTTCCACCCCCGCTGCTCCCTCAGTAACATTCCAGGTGACTGAAGCAATTTGCAGCCATTTCAAGAAGCTCCATGTGTCACTCAGCCTGTTAGGGTGGGGAGTTAGGGGAATTACAAATGCTTCAAGATGGTCCTCACTCCCTCCCCCCGGCCCCAGGACACTTGAAATTCAGGAATCAGACTGCGCAACTCTTCCTTGGGTCCCTGTTTGAAGCCCTCCCAAGCCGAATTCCCACTCCCAAATGCCCCCGTAGGTTGATTCTAAGAATCTGGGCGAGTGCTGCCACCCAGTGGCTATCCGGAACATGGCCGCCCTCTGGGGCCTGTTGGTGCTGCTGGACAGCTCCCCAACTCAAGGCCAGAACCCAAGAAGCTCCCCTTCCTTTGGACAGAGCCATGTCCAGGTGCCTAGTAAACGGATATACTCTCTCACCGACATAGTCCTAAGCCCACACTTCTTCTTGGGATCTCCAGCTCCCTTCCCTGACTTCCCATGTGCCCCCTGACTCCAAACCCTCACAACTCATCCAACTGTGCTAGTTCTTTCTCATTACAGGTTCTTTCTTTTAACTTAAAGCCCTGAAAATACACCTCTTACCTTCCTTCTCCCAGAGCTGTGCCAGACTACAAGTGGAGTGAAGGAGTAGCTAGAGATAGAATTTGGTCCCCCACATCCCCCTCCTCACCTGACACCATCAGACCTCGACACTCTCTATACTAAGAGCCCTTAATGAGCACCAGCAAATTAACAACTTCCCTTTGATTGCTCCTTCTCTGTTAATTGGATAGGGAGGGCCCCCCAAGGCCTCTGAAGAAAAGGAGGGAGGGAGAGAAGGAGAGAGGTGAGAGCTGCAGGAGCAGCCTCCATGTCTGGGCTTAGTGCCCTAGAATTCTGCTCCATCCCTGAGTACAGCAACCCCTTCCATCCTTTCCTCATCCTGTCCACTCCTGCTTACCTAACCCTCTCTCCTCCCCACCCTACTCCCTTCTCTTCTTTTTCCCTGTTTCTTGACTTCTGTCCAAATTCCCTTGACCTCTGGCTATTTTTCCTTTCTCCTCTTCTCCTTCTTTAGAGATTTAGCAGCGAGGGGCTGCAAACATGCCTGCCCCCAGGCAAGCCCAAGGCTACAGGATGGGTTTTGCGTAGCACATATGTTTGTTTACATATGTGCATGTGTGTACATGTCATATGTAGATGAAGAGCAGGGAAAAGAACAGGTGAAGGAATATGTGTAAGCTCCTGGGTGCCTGTCCTGTGGGCCAGGGCTCTGGGATGTGTGGATGTCTGTGGAGGGTGTGTGTGGCTGAGTGATGGTGTGACTCTGGTCTGTCTGTGTGTGTGTCGCCACACGGGCAAGTGCTTGAATCAGTCAAGTGTGACTCGGAGCTTGCGTATGTGTGTGTATGTGCACGCGTGTGTATGCCACCAGAGGAAGCAGCAGCAAGAGGCAGGAGCATCGATCCGAAGGAGACAGAGCGGGGAGGGGGACGCTGGGGGCAGACACCCTCCCTCCCGCGCGCGCGCACACACACCACACAGTCACACACACAAGGCATAGGGCCTCGCAGGCAGGGAAACGGCTCCGGGACCGGAGGGAGGCAGCGCTGCCGAGACCGGCCGGGAGGAGGAGGCGAGACAGCAGGGGAGCCCTGGGTCCAGCTCCCAGGTCCGGGGGCCCGGCGTGCACACCGGCCCGGAGACACCCTCGCAGACACTCGTAGGCGCGCAACCCACTCCC